AATAAGTAGTTATATATCATAGTCTGTTGGTAAAGTACATTTACATGCAAGTGTACCAATAAGTAGTTGTATATCATAATCTATTGATATAGTACATATAAATGCAAGTGTACCAATAAGTAGTTATATATTATAATTTGTTGGTATAGTACATATATATGCAAGTGTATCAATAAGTAGTTATATATCATAGTCTGTTGGTATAGTACATATATATGCAAGTGTATCTATAAGTAGTTATATATCATAATCTGTTAGTATAATACATATATAAGCAAGTGCGCCAATAAGAAGTTGTATATCATAATTTGTTGGTAAAGTACATATACATGCAAGTGTACCAATAAGTAGTTATATATCATAATTTGTTGGTATAGTACATATATATGCAAGTGTACCAATAAGTATTTATATATCATAATCTGTTGGTATAATACATATTATGCAAGTGTGCCAATATGTAGTTATATATCAAAATTTGTTAATATAGTACACATATATGCAAGTGTACCAATAAGTAGTTATAGTATCATAATCCATTGGTACAATACATATATATGCAAGTGTACCAATAAGTAGTTGTATATCATAGTCTGTTGGTATAGTACAAATATATGCAAGTGTACCAATAAGTAATAATCTGTTGGTACAATACATTTATATGCAAGTGTACCAAGAAGTAGTTATGTATCATAATCTGTTGATATAATACATATATATGCAAGTGTACCAATAAGTAGTTATATATCATAATCTGTTGGTATAGTACATATATATGCAAGTGTACCTATGAATGGTCATATATCATAATCTGTTGGTATAGTACATATATATGGAAGTGTAGGTATAGTACATATATATGGAAGTGTACCAATAGGTAGTTATGTATCATAATCTGTTGGTATAATACATATATATGCAAGTGTACTAATAAGTAGTTATATATCATAATCTGTTGGTATAATACATATATATGCAAGTGTACCAATAAGTAGTTATTTATCATAATCTGTTTGTAAAATGCATGTGTCTGTGTGGATGGGACTGTTGGAATGAGGTTTATTTCAAACGGAACTCTCAAACTTAACTACAGGCGGGTGCGTGGATGTACATATACGTTGCATATGGCATGTCCGTTGATATTGAGTATATGCTGGCCTTTTTGAACCCTAAACCATATTGGGCACTCTGAAGACTATTCTGTTGGCTTCAATTTCGGGTTGTTCTTCCTTCCACTCGTTAAATGCTTCGCAAATTATATATCTCATTAGTACACCGCTTTCTTATACCAACCATCTCGTTTTCTTAATTGTCGATCCCAAATTTCTCCTTAATGGTTTTGGCTTTGGCCGAAGAACAGACGGTCTCCTATATCTCACATGAACACCCCCTTTTCCGTAAAAAATATTACGTTTCCCTAACCGTCGATTCGGATTTTCCCTCACTCATTTTTGGGGTTGTTTTTATCTTTTTCGCATTGACATTGGCTGAGGAACAGACGGTCTCCTATATCTCACAAGTACATCCCATTTCCGTACAAAATATTACGTTTTCCTAACCGTTGATTCGAATTTTCCCTCACTTTTTTTTGGGATTGTTTTTTTTGTCATTTTGGCTTTGGCAGTGGAACAGACGGGCTTACCGATGTGCTGACGGATTTGTGTATTGAAGGCATGACGTGGCCGCTGGTACTCGATTTAGGTGAGACTATGTTGGTACGAGAAGACTGTATTGTAATTTTATATAGGTATCACACATGTGGAGATACATGTACGTATAACTCGGATGTTTTGGGGTAATGATGCAGTCTCGTCTCGTATGTCGTTATATGAGTATATTTAAATACGTACATTTGTATGTGTATGTGTATGTGTATGTGTATGTGTATTTGTACATGTATTTGTATGCATATATGTATATGCTTTTGCATATATATCTGTATATGTATTTGAATGTATAATTATGTTTGTATATATATATGTTTGTGTATGTGTATATGTATATGTATATGTATTTTTTAGAGACCTTTACATGTACATATATGGGAAAATATACAGTGGCTACACGCACAGACACGTCTAAAACGCGCTCACGCATAAGTTTCCTCTGGGCTGTGATTTGATTGACCCTTTGTCATAAATGTACTGTGGGCATTGATTTGATTGGACCTAGAATATAAACATACTCTGGGCTTCGATTTGATTGGTCCTTATGCATAAGCTTTCCCTGAGCTGTGGTTTGATGGGACCTTGGACAAAAGCGTACTCCAGGGTGCGGTATTTATATGCATTCATATGTTATATATAACCGTATTAAAGCCACGTGTTACGTACGTAAAATATATCCGTATAAAAGCCATGTGTTACAAACGCAAAATATATCCGTATTAAAGCCATATGTTTCATATGTTGTATTTATCCGTATCAAACCCGTGTGTTTCAAACGTATTATATATTCGTATTAAAGCCGCGTGTTTCACTCATAATACATATCATCATAATCAGAGAGCAAGAGCTTAAAATACACCCACAAGTAATACATATACAACTAACACTTCACAGAATGTATTCTCCACCGCACTGTTAGTATCTCAGAAACCTCAAATCCCAACTGCACGTTTCGCTTGTATGTGTATGATCGTTTAACACGAATAATCACTGCAGATTTATCTCTATCTGAGCAAGTGAAATCAGCCAAACCGAATACGGGTGCATCGAACGCTACTATGGTCCACAAAGGTAGGCTACAAAATGGGTTGTGTGGAATTGATTAAAAACCATAAAACCCTAACCCAAAACCCTAAACACACACACAGACATATATATATACATGTATATATATATATATATATATATATATATATATATATATATATATAT